TGTCGCACCTCGTCCCGGCGCAGCCTTAGCTATTTCTTCGCTGTTTGTCCAAAAACTCACTGATTTATGAACTACTAACAACTTGGCTTCCGTCTAATGAACGCCTGTGTTTTGGTTAACAATATTTATTATCAACATGCAGAAAACAAACAACGAAGCAGCGAGCTCTAGCCCTAGGTCAATCTTATATACAAGATGACACTTGCCTAGCACAGAGCTTTAGCTGCCGAGCAAGAAACAAACAATCACCCATCACACTGTAGTGAGGCTCGGAGGCGTCCGAGGCTATGTGCAAGTCGCCAACGGTTTGTGCTTGCATGAGCATTTGCAAGGGTCTCGTGCCCAGCTGTCAAGGCACCAACATCCTCGTTGTGAGAGTACGACGGCTTATGCTGGCTTTGCTAGCTTGTCTAGATTTTATTATACTATATCTGGCTTGGGTTTTATTTATCATGCATAGATATGCTTGATTTCCTAGGTTAGGTGCATTCCTTAATTTTATTATAGTTATAGCACCGAACCAGGTGACGTGTACCGAACTCAAGCCTATTCGGTTTCCACCGAATTGCTTTCTACTGAGTTCGGGAAAGTTTTGTTCGGGACGCTTCGCGACCCTCAGAACATTCGCGTAACACCTGGGTAACTGGCCTTGTGTCGAGCCTATATATAGCCACGTGTTGTACCCAGGTGATTCATTCAAATACAATTCTCTTTTCTGAGCTCGATCCTAGATTATCACACTTGGTAATCAGAGCCTGTTTAGGCGCGAAGTTTTTCGACCGCTAAAACCCATCGTTTAAAACCGCGGGGGCGACAACGAAAAGCGCCGATTACGGGTACGTAAACCAGTTCCGCGCTATTTTTTAACGTCCCCCTCGAACCGGTTTTCAAACACTCCTCAGGTCCTGTGGCGAGAGAGTTGGAATTTTGACCGTCGGATCGATTCGAATCTCAACGGCCCTGAGAATTTCGCCCAAACAAGTTGGAATTTGGAGCGTCGGATCGAATTTCTTCTCAACGGCCGAGATCGGACGTGAATTTCGACTGAGGGAGAATTACGCGACCTAAAGAATCAGCGCTCGTCATTTCTACAGTCGATTCGACTCACAGTAAGACGACCAGCGCCTAGAATTCAATTATTTTCGTCGCACATTTTCCTGTAAATCGCCAAATGGAGGAAAACGGTTATAATTCCGTACGAAACATTACGGAGTTACACACCGGCTTGGACCAGACGCGAGCGGCACTCCAGCGAATAGAGGAGCTTCTCATGAACCAGTCGGCAGCCGCCATAGCAGCAGCGAACGCAGCAGTGAATGCAGCAGCGATGGCAGCAGCAGCGGCAATGGCTACAGTGAATCTTTAGGCTGCACGTCCGAGGCAACCGAAGACGTTCAATCCGAATGCAAGAGACAGCAACGTCCGTCGATTCATTGCGACCCTCGAAATTTACTTCGAGGCCGTTGGCTGTACGACCCCGACACACGATGTAATGCGGATTCGGCTCGCAGCGACACTGTTACGAGGCCCAGCTCTCGAGTGGATCCACAACAGCAATAAGATGAGAGGCGAGGGGTCATGGACGCAGTTTCGGGAAGCTTTAATTCAACGTTTCGAACCAATCAACTACAGCTACATGGCGCGGCAGCAGATTCAATGGCATAAACAGTTCGGCAGTGTAACATAGTACACGCAGCAAATGGAGAGCCTCTTCAACCGAATTAGCGACCTGACCGAAGAGGAAAAAATCCAAGCGTATACTGAGGGGATAAAAATGGAAGTCCGCCGACAGGTGATTGCCGCGAACTACAACAACTACCGCGACATGGTGTGTGCAGCAGAGAGATTCGATGCGCTCATGCAATGTGAACCCGAGACACGACGCCACGTGCCGAACCGATCATTTGGCACGAAGCGATCGGCACCACCCAGGACCACCGACCCGATGGATATCGACAAGATCGACACGAAGCAACGGCCGACAAAATATGAGAACTGCGAATTTTGCGGCGCAGCAGGACATCGACTCTTGGCGTGTTGGAAAATGAAGAAGGCACGAGCGGAGCTAAAGGGCAACAATAGTGCAGCACCCCCGAAGTCAAAAGACATGGTAACTTCAGAGCGGGCGAAAAAAGGAGGACACGATGGCGCGAATTTAAAACGCCATGACCGGCCGGCAATAGGGGAAACCGCCAAGACAAATGGAGGCTCCGCGAAACAAGACTCAGCACCGACCGGGAAACTCCAGCCGAACACCCCCGAGAGTAAGAATATTCCCTCTCGAGGTTTTCAAGCCTTTAAAAAATTCAGGGGAGATTTCAAGGCCAAGAAAAAGCCTTTAGACATTATTCAGGTACCTGAGAAGTTGAGCAAACCACTCCGGAGCGTTGAAAAGGGTCGTGCGTTCCAAGGCGTTAACATTCTCTCCCCGCAGCACAGTGTTAAGGCTCCCTATTGCCCACAGGCGAAGCCCACACAACTGCAAAGGCTTAGGGGAAGGTTACAGGCCAAGACGAAGCTGAATCGGCCACGGATAAATCCTTCTAACCCTACTCAGTTGAAAACTGATATGGAGTCAGCAGCTTCGAACGCAGGACCGAGGGATGATCTATTCGACGTACCCTACGATCCAATAAGCGAGAACATCTACGGTTACTCGGAGCAGCAACAACCACTACTACTCATGATGATCTGCAACGGGCGACGCCTCCAGGCACTGGTAGACAGTGGTGCGTCCCACTCGGTGTGCGACCGTGGGACGTTGGGGAAAATTGGAGAACCTTCGGAGGAGACCAAGTTCACGGCAACAATGGTGGACGGTACGAAACTTCACATCCACGGCGAAGCATCTCTGCAGCTGCACATAGGGGCGCTGAGGTGGAAGCCGACGTTGCCGATCACGAACATCAAAGGGTTAGATTTCATCTTGGGGAGGGATTTTCTGAAGCGGTTCAACCCCGAGATCGATTGGGTCAACAGGAAGGTGTGCATCTACAGTATCGGGAAGCAGATAGAGCTACGAAGCTGGACGGACACAGGGGACGTTCCTGAAACGACACTGGCACGGTTCGAACAGACGGTGAACGAGAGTAACACGGGTTACTTAGCACTAGTTATGGCAGTAGCAGAGGAGGAGAAGCCGAGCGCAGAGCTACCTGCAGCAGATAAGGAGGTCTCGGAGTAGTACAAAGATATAATGCCCGACGACCTACCCGCAGGCGTACCTTCAGCACGCACCCACGAGCACGAGATCGTGGAGGAACTAGGTGCGAAACCCGTCTCATGTGCACCATACCGACTGAGTCCGACAGAACTGACAGACATGAAAAAAGAGATAGAGTTGTGAAAGAACGAGGGATGAGTGAACTAGCAAGCAGGTGGGTACAAGTAGGAAAACCTAAAAGTGTTGTACCCCATATTGTCTACCCCACTACAGCCTACACAGACTATAGCATATGAGTTTGACACACCCCCATAGGCAAAGTGGGGGAGAACAAGAGGTCACAAGACCAGTCAAGCAAAGCAAAGCAAGCTCAGGGTGGATCACAACGTCACCACACATTCCGAGCACAAGTTCAAGGCCACAAGGCCAGTTCACATGCAAGATCATATATAAAGGTAAACAAGCAAGTGCAGGTATAGAAAGATCACAGTACAAGCAAGGTCAAGAAGTGAGCAAGTGAGGCCAAGTAGGCACAAGACCTAGCATCGTACAGCAGCGCTGATGATCACAAGGCGGAAGTGCCTTGGTAAAGATATCAGCAGTGTTGGCCTCAGAGGCCACGTAAGCAAGGCGCAGCTGACCACGCTGCTGCAGCTCACGAGCAAGAAAGTAGCGAAGAGCAATGTGCTTCGTTCTGTGCTCCAGTCTGTGCTCCCGACACAAGGCCAGCATGGCCTTGTTGTCTACGTACAGAACTGGAGGAGAACGAGGCGGCAGTCCAAGGTCAGTCAGCAGGTAGGTGAGCCAGCGTAGCTCCTGTGCAGCCATGGCCCCTGCGTAGATCTCAGCCTCACAGCTCGAGCTAAGAACAGAAGACGAGCGGGCAGACCTTCACGAAACAGAACCGGAACCAAGACTGAAGGTGTAACCCTGTGACGTCCGCTGCGTAGCCAAGTCGTCAACCCAAGACGCGTCTGCGTGACCAGTGAGGACCACTGGACTCCGCCCTCCAAGCACTAGCCCCATGCCCGACGTACTGCACAAGTAGCGCAACACCCTCTTCGCTGCAGCCATGTGCTGAGGGAGGTGTCTCCCAAGAGCAACATAGCGTGCCAGAATGCTGAGAGGGTATGCAAGGTCAGGTCGTGTGCAGGTCATCAGGTACATGAGGCAGCCAACAAGCTCTGGGTACGGGCCACTCGGCTCTACGGACTCATCCGAAGGCAGAGCTGAGAGCGAGTGGCGAGTAGACAAAGGAGTGGCCTGTGGCGAGGAGTACGTGAAGCCGAAGCGCTGAAGGACCTGCTGCACCATGTGTGACTGAGTCAGGGTAATGGTGTGCTGTGCTCTGTCCCGGGTGATCTGCAAGCCAAGGTAGCTGCGCAGTTCACCCAGGTCTGTGCACGTGTGTCTCTTCTGCAGCTCGGACTTCACGTGGGCGAGTCCAGCAGTGTCAGATGTGGCAAAGACCAAGTCTTCGACGTACACGAGGATGTAGAACGGCGGCAAAGAGGTGTCGGTGCGCAGGAACAGCGACGGGTCAGCAGTAGAAGGAGCAAACCCAAGAGCCGCAAGTGTAGTCCTCAGTGTGTCGTGCCACTCACGAGGTGCCTGGCGGAGACCGTAGACTGGCCACCGGAGGCTCCACTGGGTGCCAGGAGGAAAAGACCCAGTGAAGCCAGGTGGGCGGCGCAGCCAGATCTCCTCGTGCACGCTACCCTGTAGGAAAGCAGTGCTGAAGTCAAGAGAGTGAAGCTCGTAGTTGCGCTGAGCGGCTATGTGCAGTAGCACCCGAAGAGTGGTCATCTTCGGGGTGGGAGAGAAGGTCTGAAAGTAGTCAACTCCCTGCTGCTGACTGAAGCCTCGAGCCACGTAACGCGCCTTGAAGACAGGCGGAGAACCCGGCGGCCGCTTCACCCTGAAAATCCACATGCCACTGACGATGTTCGCCCCAGGTGGGGGAACCTCGTCGACGTATGTGCCTGTGGACTTCCAGGAAGCCATCTCTGCGTCCATGGCTGCCTGCCACTGAGAGGAGTAGGGACCCTCTATCGCCTCCGCGTAAGAGCGCGGAGTCGGGATGTCTGGTGCATCCGGGTCTCCCTCAGGGGCCAGCAGCATGGACACGAGATGAGGTGAAGTAGCAGCAAAGCACTGGAACTCCTCCTGCCTGTCCTCAAGGACGTCCGTGCCAAGGGCACACTCACCCCCGACGGACGGAGGACAGACAGACTCAGACTCAGCGACAAGACTAGCAGCGTAGTCTAGACGACAGCGAGCAGCAAAGTCGACAAGCTCAGCAACCAAGGCAGACGCAGCAGTGGACTCGAAGGAAGGGTCAGTGACGACAGTAGCAAGGAGACGCGTGACAGTAGGACTGGCAGCACGAAGGGAGTCCGACTCTGGGTCAGCAAGAGCAGGAAGAGAGGACTCAGGGGGAGAAGGCAAAGGGGCACGCAGCGGAGCAGTGGAAGGACGCAGAGACATCCGGTGCGTGCCGGGGACAGGGGGAGGACGCGGACGCGAACCACGACCACTAGTGCGAGCAGCACGGACAGGTGACGCAGGACGAGACGCAGGCTCACGACGCTCAGCAAGACCTCCAGTAGGACCAGTGTAGGGAGAAGGAGCAGGCAGTGGGGAGGCTGGCTGTAACTGTGACTCAGACTGGACAGGCGGCGGACACTCTAAGAGAGGAGCGGGACTAGTAGAGGGCGGAAGACCAAGAACCTGCTCAAGGAGCAGAACGAAGTACGGCCGCGGCCGTGCAGCACCCCCAGAACCAGCAGGAACAGCGCCAGCACCACGAACGGCAGCACCAGCTCCAGTAGCACCCCCAGCTCTAGCAGCGCCAGCAGCTCCAGCTCCAGTAGCACCCCCAGCTCCAGCCGCGCCAGCAGCACCAACTCCAGCAGCACCAACACCAGCACCCTCTGAAGCACCAGCACCAGCAGCACCTCCAGCGCCAACACCCCCAGCAGCTCCAGCTCCAGCTCCAGCAGAAGGAGTACCCGCAGGCCCAGCAGCTCTAGTACCTCCAGTACGAGCACCTCCGGGACCCGTGGCACCAGCACCCTCAGCAGCAGTAGAACCTCCAGCACCAGCAGCACCTCCAGCTCCATCAGTACGGCTCCAACGCCTAGCAAACCACTCGCGCAGCACCTGTGGAGAGAGTAACTCTCGCCGGGACGAAGCACCCGAAGGACCTCCAGGCCCAGTCCCTCCAGACGCCACACGAGCAGGCTCAGCACCCCCAGGCTCAACACCCCCAGGCTCAGCACCCCCAGGCTCAGCAACTCCAGGCTCAGCACCCCCAGTCTCAGCGCCCCCAGAGTCAGCACCCCCAGGCTCAGCACCCCCAGGCCCCGCACCCCCAGTAGCACCAGAGTCAACAGCTACCTCGACAGGCTCGACTGCGTCTACCTGGGACACACCTGAGGGGGCAGGACCCTGAGGGGGGAGGGGGTCTACCGGGGGGGGACCTGGCGCGAGGAAGAGCGGCGGCGGGGGGAGGGACGCAGTGCGGTAGGGGAAGAGACGGTAGTAGGGAACCGACTCGTCAAACGTGACGTCCTGAGAGGACAGAACACGGCGCGAGGTGGGGTGGTAAAACTGCCAACCAGGCGCGTCAGGGGGGAAGCCAAGGAAGACGCAGGGAACAGCACGGGGGGACAGCTTGTCCGCAGACAAGTCGCGGACAAACGCCCGGGATCCCCAAACACGGAACGCAGACGCATCGCCAACCTTCCCCGTCCACCGCAGAGCAGGGGAGGTCTCCGGCATGGAGACCCGGGGCTGAAGGTTGATCTGATGCGCCGCGTACTGAACCGCGAACGGCCACAGAAAATGGGGGGCAGCCGCATGGATCATGGACGTACGAGCGACGTCCATGACCATGCCAATGCGGCGCTCAGCAATCCCATTTTGCTGTGGAGAGGCCGGAAGCGTGAACGTCTCGCGGATGCCCTGTGCACAACAGAAGGCTCGCAGAAGGTCAGAGGAGAACTCTCCGCCTCTGTCGGAGTGCAGACGCAGAACAGGAAAGTCAGAGCCGAAACTCTCTCTGAGCTGGAGACGAGCAGCGCGGATCCAGTCGATCAACACCCCAGTGACCTCACCCTTGCTGCGCAAGGGGAAGACGGTGGTGTAACGCGAGTAGTCGTCAACCACCTGCAGGAAGTAACGCTCGTGACCCTGTCCACGGACGCGGGCTGGGCCCCACACGTCCATGTGAAGCGTCTGCAGTGGAGCCTCTGTCGGAGGAAACTCGGAGGAGTGAGGAGCAGCGCGCTGCCGCCCCTCGACGCAGGGAACGCAGGTAGGGGCAGGCCCTGGAGGAAGAGGAGGGAGGGACCGGGGGAGACTAGAGACAAGGACACGGGAGGCCATGCCTCGGAGACGAGGCAGGGAGGGGTGACCAAGGCGGTGGTGCCAGAGGAGAGTCTGGTGAGACAGGAGACGACACGAGCAGGGGGCAGACTCAGGACCAGAACTGGACGCCGCAGCAGACACCTGACCCGACGCAGCTGCCTGACCAGACGCAGCAACCGGAGGAGACCCAGTAGTCAGTGTGTACAGGCTCGACCCCGGCCGACGGGTAAACGTGGCCAAGTGTCGGCCCGTCCGAGCACACGTGCAGTGGGTCACTCGCTGACTTGCAGGAGTGAACTGGTGAACCCCCCCATCCTGTAGATCAGCACCACTCACCAAGTTCGTAGAGAACGAGGGGAGGTAAAGACCTGACAGGGTGCCAGAAGGGGCCGCCAGACACGGTAAGACAGTGGAGAAGTGGGCAAGGACAGGACCCCCAGAGGGGTCTGCCAGGGAGACCGCAACTGGCCGACTAAGCGGCGTGAGTGTGGTGCGGTCTCGAAAGAAGGAGCGGGAAGCACCCGAGTCAAGGGTGAAGGTGTGGGAGGCCTGAGCCGACGTGGTACCTGAGAGAGCAGACTCACCAGCACCTGGGGCAGCAGACTCACTAGCACCTAGAGCAGCAGCCTCACCAGCACCTAGAGCAGCAGTCTCAATGCCCGGGTCAGGCGGAATACACAGGTAACAGTCACCCTCATCACTAGTAGGCAATGCATACATGGCAGTGAGGATAGCATCATAGTCAAGAGTATAGATATCTACCCTCAGCCTAAGCAGCTCCACCCAGTCGGGGAGCTCAGCCGCGTCGCCAAACTCCGTACGCCAGGCGTCGCTCAGACGGGCGAAGCAGCGGGACTCTGCGTGACCAAACGTCCCGCAAGGCTGACCAGTCCGAGCACCAGTGCGAATGACGTACGGACAGCGAGCAGTACCCCGTGACCCGTCACGCTGAGCGTACCACTCACGAAGCTGCTGGGGTGAAAGGACCGCGCACGGACGACGCTGCAGCTGCACCTGGCCACTACAAGCAGCTGCCGAACTACTCACTCCAGGATGACTCCCACTACGGCCACCCCGACAACCCCAAGTAGCGTACCACTCACGAAGCTGCTGGGGCGTGAGGGACTCACGCGGACGTCGCTGGAGCTGCATCTGGCCACCGCCAGGAGCAGCAGGAGCAGTGGTAGCCGCAGTAGTAGCAGCAGTAGCAATAGCAGTAGTCGCAGCGCGGCCACCCCTACAACCCCAACTAGCGTACCACTCACGAAGCTGTTGGGGGGCGAGGGACTCACGCGGACGGCGCTGGAGCTGCATCTGGCAACGCCAGGAGTAGCAGTAGCAATAGAAAGAGCAGTAGCAGCAAGAGCAGCAGTAACAGCAGTACGGGCAGGGCAGTGCTCACCAGTGGCGAGAAGGGCAGGCGTACGACGGCGGCAATGGCGAGGCCGCGACCACTGTAGGGCGAGGGCTCCGCGGCAGCTGCAGGGGCGGCTGCTCCATGGGCGGCTGCTGCAGGGGCGGCTGCTGCAGGGGCTGCTGCTCCAGGGGCGGCTGCTCCAGGGGCGGCTGCTGCAGTGGCGGCTGCTCCAGGGGCGGCTGCTACAGTGGCGGCTGCTCCAGGGGCGGCTGCTGCAAGGGCGGCTGTTCCAGGGGCGGGTGCTGCAGGGGTGGCTGCTCCAGGGGCGGCTGCTGCAGGGGCGGCTCCTCCAGGGGCGGCTGCTGCAGGGGCGGCTGCTCCAGGGGCGGCTACTGCAGGGGTGGCTGCTGCTGGGGCGGCTGCTGCAGTGGCGACTGCTCCTGGGGCGGCTGCTTCAGGGGCGGCTGCTCCAGGGGCGGCTGCTGCAGTGGCGACTGCTCCTGGGGCGGCTGCTTCAGGGGCGGCTGCTCCAGGGGCGGCTGCTGCAGGGGAGGCTGCTCCAGGGGCGGCTGCTGCAGTGGCGGCTGCTCCAGGGGCGGCTGCTGCAGGGGCGGCTGCTCCAGGGGCGGCTGCTGCAGTGGCGGCTGCTCCAGGGGCGGCTGCTGCAGGGGCGGCTGCTCCAGGGGCGGCTGCTGCAGTGGCGGCTGCTCCAGGGGCGGCTGCTGCACGGGCGGCTGCTCCAGGGGCGGCTGCTGCAGGGGTGGCTGCTCCAGGGGTGGCTGCTGCAGTGGCGGCTGCTCCAGGGGCGGCTGCTGCAGGGGCGGCTGCTCCAGGGGCGGCTGCTGCAGGGGTGGCTGCTCCAGGGGCGGCTGCTGCAGTGGCGGCTGCTCCAGAGGCGGCTGCTTCAGGGGCGGCTGCTCCAGGGGCGGCTGCTGCAGTGGCGACTGCTCCTGGGGCGGCTGCTTCAGGGGCGGCTGCTCCAGGGGCGGCTGCTGCAGGGGAGGCTGCTCCAGGGGCGGCTGCTGCAGTGGCGGCTGCTCCAGGGGCGGCTGCTGCAGGGGCGGCTGCTCCAGGGGCGGCTGCTGCAGTGGCGGCTGCTCCAGGGGCGGCTGCTGCAGGGGCGGCTGCTCCAGGGGCGGCTGCTGCAGTGGCGGCTGCTCCAGGGGCGGCTGCTGCACGGGCGGCTGCTCCAGGGGCGGCTGCTGCAGGGGTGGCTGCTCCAGGGGTGGCTGCTGCAGTGGCGGCTGCTCCAGGGGCGGCTGCTGCAGGGGCGGCTGCTCCAGGGGCGGCTGCTGCAGGGGTGGCTGCTCCAGGGGCGGCTGCTGCAGTGGCGGCTGCTCCAGAGGCGGCTGCTTCAGGGGCGGCTGCTCCAGGGGCGGCTGCTGTAGTGGCGGCTGCTCCAGGGCGCGGGTTAGGGCAGGGCGCCGCGGCCGGAAGGGGTGACGCCACGCGGGTCCCGCAGGGGCGTCGCGACGCACAGGAGCCGCGCCTCGCGGGTCCCGCAGGGGCGTCGCGACGAGGCAGGGGCGACGCGGCGGGGCCGCGACTGGCGACGGGGCGGGGCCGCGACTGGCGACGGGGCGAGGCCGCGACTGGCGACGGGGCGGGGCCGCGACTGGCGACGGGGCAGGGCCGTTACGGGCAGCGGGGCGGGGCCGCGAAGGGAGCCGCGAGGGAGCCGCGAGGGGGCCGCGAGGGGGCCGTGAAGGGGCCGCGAGGGGGCCGCGAAGGGGCCGTGAAGGGGCCGCGAAGGGGCCGCGAAGGGGCCGCGAGGGGGCCGTGAAGGTGCCTCGAAGGGGCCGTGAAGGGGCCGCGAAGGGGCCGTGAAGGGGCCGCGAAGGGGTCGTGAAGGGGCCGCGAAGGGGCCGCGAAGGGAGGCCGCGAAGGGGCCACGAGGGGCCTGAAGGGGCCCGAAGGGCCGTGAGAGGGGCCGCTACGGGGCCTTAGGGGAGCGCGACGGGCCACCAAGGGCAGGGGACGCGACGGGAGGGTAGGCACACGGGGCGCGACCCGGGTAGGGGCGAAGCGCGCTCCGGGCAGGAAAAAAAAAAAAAAAATCGATATTCGGTGGGCCCTAGGAAACGTTCCCACTAGGGAACCTGCTCTATACCATGTGAAAGAACAAGGGATGAGTGAACTAGCAAGCAGGTGGGTACAAGTAGGAAAACCTAAAAGTGTTGTACCCCATATTGTCTACCCCACTACAGCCTACACAGACTATAGCATATGAGTTTGACAAGAGTATCTACTGGACAGACAACTGATCCAGCCATCCACCTCTCCCTACGGTGCACCAGTTCTCTTCACTCCAAAACCAGACGGCAGTTTACGGATGTGCATCGTCTACCGCGCACTGAACAAACAGACAGTAAAAAACAAATATCCCATACCGCGCATAGACGACCTACTAGATCAACTGTGTGGTGCAACAGTCTTTTCGAAGCTGGACCTACGATCGGGTTACTGGCAGATCAAGATGGCAGACAACTCGGTACACAAGACGGCGTTCCGTACCAGATACGGCTCCTACGAATACTTGGTGATGCCGTTCGCACTCTGCAACGCACCAGCAACATTTCAGGTGGAGATGAATCACATCTTACGACCCCTGCTGGACGAGTGCGTAGTGGTGTACCTGGACGACATTCTTATCTACTCCAAGAACGTTAAGGAGCACGTGGAGCATCTGCGGAAGGTGTTCGAGATCCTGCAGAAAAAAAAGTTCTACGTGAAGCTGTCAAAGAGCGACTTCGCCCTGAAGAAGGTGCAGTTTCTCGGGCACATGGTGAGTGCCGAGGGCGTGCACGTGGACCCGCGGAAAATCGAAGCCGTCAACAAGTGGAAGGCACCGGAGAACGTGAAGGAGTTGCAGCAGTTCCTCGGCTTCGCCAACTACTACAACAGGTTTGTGCTGCAGTAGATAGCAGCGCCACTGACCGACCTACTGAAAAAGGATACGCCCTACAGGTGGGATACTCCTCATCAGCAAGCCATGGAGCAGCTACAGACAGCACTGACTATAGCGCCAGTACTCATCCTACCGGACCCAGACAAGGACTACGTGGTGGAAGCAGACGCTAGTGACCAAGCAGTCGGAGCAGTACTGATGCAGGATCACGGACGCGGTTTGCTGCCCATCGCCTACCTCAGTAAAAAGCTATAC